TATATATATATCCTCAATATATCATCAATAAATTTCATACATTTTGTTTTGTTTTTTTCATTCATTTTAATAAACATTTGGAATGCATTTTATATAATTTAAATTTAACAAGGATGTACGGTACAGCAGGTTTTGTGTTTTTTCATTCATTTTAATAAACATTTGGAATGCATTTTATATAATTTAAATTTAACAATATACATAAATTTGATTTGCAATTTAGTGGCATCGTTTTGTTGTTGTTGTTGTAATAGTTATTTATATAAACGTTATCATTAAAAATTGGAGAGACTTATGCACAGTTTAACATTAGAATTATTATTATTATTAAATACACATACATAGTTATACAGAATAAAAAAGTTACAGTTTCATGGTCTTTATCAATCGAATGTCAATTAGGCATAACTTTTCATTGTTGTGGACACGAATATTGCATAAAAATAACAATTATAAAAAACCTTTATATAAGATATATTTTCTCTTTTCATTTCTTTCTTTTACTTTTGTGTAATTTGTTGATTTTTCGATCTATGTGTGTGTGTGAGTGTAAACGCAGGCAATGCATATATTTAAATTTGTTGTAGTTTAGTTAGTTARGCTTACTAATTTTTACAGTTTTTCGGCATGGGCCAATTAGAATACAAATACAAGTAGACCCGTCCTTTATGTATAGTCTACTCCAATTAAGTGGACCTTAGGTCACCAATTGGAGTTTATGTATGTGTACGTGTGTGTGTGTGTGTGTATGTGCTTTCGCCTAGCTAAAAATACATACGAAACAGCACTAAACTAGCAAAAGTGATTATAATACAAAAGCAAACGAACAAATAAGTACACGAGTGAGTGGCGGTGGTGTTCCAAGTAGTCGCAATGCGGTTTCCCTGTCGCTGCTGCTGCCGTTGATGTTGATCTTGATGTTGCTGATCTTCTTGTTGTCGTAGTGATGTGTGTCGTCGTTGTTGCTGTTCCTCCTCATATAACTGGTGAACCGTTTGCCACAACCAAACAGTGTCAGCCACGTTGCCAACGCCGTCGCACACAGGACCAGTGTTATTAATCAACTCCGGCAAATCCTTGGCTACCCTCAATGGCCTTGATCAGTTTATCTTTGAGCTGCAGGTAGCCCTCGTATGGTGGCAGGTCAAGACGATTGAAGCTAAAAGAGTAGAGAAAGCATTTCAAATCAATCCGGATTGCTGGAAAAGCCAGACCCTTTCTTACCAGGTATGCGCACGTGGAAAGTTGTTGGGTGTGCCCCATTTCTCAATGGTAAACATTTGCGGACCATTCGATCCGTAAAGCTCCTTGAAACCGTTCATGGGCACACGCGATGTGCCCGTGACGAACTGCAACAGACGCGAGCGCATTTCGTTGGAGAATGATAAGACGGCACGCCAGAACCATTGAATGATGATGTGGTTCATATGATAATCGCCCTTATACAGGGTATTCTCACGCCAATCCTTGACATCGATGTTCTGTATGCCGCACATCAACAGCTCCAGTTCGTGCTCATCAAATATTTTGATTAGATTCAGTGGTATGATAGAGCCAAAGCCATCCAAGAATGCTGTCATTTGATCCTTAACACGCGCCACAAAGCGCCACTCGATGACAAGCCTAGGAGATGCAGAAGTAAGTATACGTTTAAGTATATATGTTTAATTAATTCTATTTCTCACTTACTTAATGTATTCATCTTTATTTTCGTTGGACACTTCAATGTTGGCGCCGCCTGCCTTGAGCTCGTGCTGACTCTTTTGGCCAAACACATCTTCGTCCAGGCAGAAGGTGAGCTCCAGAATGCGTGGATCATTCTCCTTGATCCACATCAATGAGTTATAGTATTCAGTGTCAACCGATTCCATATCCTTCAAATCTATGGACTTTTGCAGCATCATCTTGTAGAACGGCCGTATAAAGAAGGCATCCAGCAATTTGCCATGATACACAGCCATGCCAGCTATGCGACCAATGAACCTAAGACAAATATAAGGTATTTATAATGGGATACAACATATTTGCTGTTTCTTTAAAGACATACTTGAAATAACTTAAATGCTCCTCATTGCACAGGCCGCTGCCATTGTTGATTTGCAACGTGTAGTTATCCATGGCTGAGTACTCGAAGAGTCCATAATACGGATTAAACATTTCTTTGGATAGCAAATAGAACCACTCCCTGGCAAGGCCACCATAGTCTGAAGCATAATCAAACATTTAGTTATATATAAAGATATCTAAAGGAGAGTATATATTATTTTACCTAAGCCCGTCTCTCCTTCAAACTCGACCCATAATTTAGTCTTTAGTAAATCGGTCTTTGTCACCGAACTAATAATTCTATACGAATCCTCCAATATGGATGTACGACGAATGCGTATTTCAAATTTATTTGGTACATTTGTCTGCAAGTTAAAGAGAAGACAGATGATTAGTTGACTTTTAATATAAATGGTATAGTCTATGCTTACAGGCTTTCTAATATGACTCTTGAAATATTCATATTTCTGTTTGTAATCTCGCGAATAGGGAACCGCTTGGCCAGCGATATTTGGATTTGACAAGCGTGGATCATCCCACTGTGTGGTGCGCGTATCTGCAAATGAAAACAATGTTGAGTTGAGTTAAGCGTGACATCCTTTCATTGTCAGATTAGAGCTTACTGTGATCTATGTAGAAGACGCGACCATCTGTATGCACGCGCTCTTCCCAGCCCTCGGGCAACGGGCCAAGATCGTCTTCGACGCGGCGCGTTTGATTTGGCATGGGACTGGCGCGTCCATTACGCGGATCTATCCAGGTGGTGCGCCTCGCCTCGTGATCAATAAAGAAGGTACGTCCATTGGGTGCCACCTGCATGGACCAGCGGGGTGGCAGCGCTTCCTCCTCACTGGCGGCGGTCTGCAAAGGCAAAAGGAGTATCTTTTAGCTGTATACAAAAATATATTTCTCAAATAGTTCCTAATGAAATATTTATAATCTGTTGGCAGCTAAAAAAAACAGCACATGCACATTCGAGTGCTAATATATATAGATAGGTAGATATAGTTAGGTATATATATAGTATGTATATGGAATGAAACTTTACTTGATCCGTGGGCACAGCCGCGTTGTCTTCCTCGGAATTGCGTCGGGTGGACGATGCTGAGATCTCTGAGGGATTGTGGCTGTCTGTGTGATCGGTGTCTTCACTCTAATTGGTTATGGTTGCAATATGGTTTGGTTGTTGTATAGTTTAATTGTTTATTTTTATTACAATTGGAAGAAACAGAAAAAAAATGTTTCCAATAAATTATAATTAATTTTGCCAAACACGAAAAACAAATAATAAAAAAAAAAAGAAAGAAGCAGAACATAAAAATACATAGAGCACAGCCAATTAAAGATAACACACAGAAAACATATATAACTATACGAAATAGAGCTAGAGAAACAAGGCATATACGAATATATCAATGCTTCATCAGCTCTAAATTGAGACACAAATTAGAAATTCAGATGGAAAGTGAATGTGTTAAGTACAGGTCTGTATTGCATATGTTTATTAGATGGAATTATGTACATCATGCATATCATGCATATCATGCATATACACAACACATACATATATAGTAGGTACAAGAAATTTGAGTAATTATGTATATAAATTGTCTACCTCAAGCCAATTAAACATGGTTAAAGTGTATGTAAGGGGCGATGGGAGATGTGGCATAAAAGGCCACAGGTAAAAAGGTAATCTGGAATCGATTATGTGAACAGATAAGGTTAGGCTTATCATGAGTTGATTGAACGTATGTCGAAAATGTCGGATAGCAAATTCGGCATATAGATTCTTTGAAAGTGAGAGATAATGCCCACTTATAGATATTGATTACTTTCTATATTTTCCACAAATATCAAACAGAACTAATTACGCCTGCTCCGCATACCCTACAAATGAAGTTAGTTAAGATACAAATTACAATAGACGCGTTTCAGGGTATTTGGTAATCGACCACTCCCGCCTAAATTATCCCAACTTTTACACATTCCTTTTGACAACATCCGAAATCTATATTCACATGCTGATTTTTAACGAGAAGTTGCCCCCGAATTTGTTGTCGATATGTGTCATTATATAAATAGATCTGTTGTAAATTCTATGGTATTTGTATGCTCCGTAGCTT